ATTCCCTTTCCTTCATGCTGGACATTGTCAGACATTTCACATTGGTAGCTGTTGTCCAACAAGCAGGTAAAAGACTCCTTGGATTTCTGGGAGTGGTAATAAAAGTTCTTTCAAGGAAGAGTTTTTTTTTAAGTTGATTGACAAAAATCCATTGTATCCAGTGGGTACAGCACAAAAGGCTTTCTTAAGTTTGTGCAGGATATGAAGTATTTTTACTCAGCTAACTACTTTCTCATGTTTCTGCAAGGTAATCATTAACCTTATTGGGGCTGTGTAAACATTTCATGGTTTTGATTGAAAGGATAATTACAAAGACATGTACTCATTTCAGGGTATTCCAAATTAGACTTTTACGTGATATTAAATGTACGGATAATGTTGGTTTGAATTATTTGCACCATTACTGTAAGGACCTGTAAGAAGGTTCTCCAAGAAAGCTTTTGTAGGTTTAAGGCCAAATTCGCATGTACTGATGCAAGTATAATAAATAAGATGTGAATATGTTCATTGCAAAAATATGGTAACATTTTTACCATATTTACATCCAGGAAAATACAAGGAGCAAATTTGACAAGGAGCAACTTTCACTTAAACTCAGGACAACATAAAGTACAAAGTTGGTGTAAAGCATTTGTCCGGTTAGATTTTGTTTTTGCTATATGCTTTTGCTAAGTAAAAACAAAATGTATACATGAGGCTGTTACTTGGTTTGTGCAGGTCCACTTCCTATATCCAACCCAAAGAATCAGACTGCCATGGATCCATTGGTCTTGATTGATGCTATTGCATCTTGTATGGCCTATGAGGAGAAGGAATTGTGTAAGACAGGACATCTAGCCATGTCATTTGTTGTGGAGACTGCTGCTGTGGTTATGGGCTCCAAATTCAGGGTATGCTGGATTCATTTGTCTTGACACGTCTTACATTTTCTAGATAGAAAGGCTACCTAGCCCCTCTTTTCTGTATCCCTGATGCCATGTATGACTATGACTGTCATGCGTTTTGTGCCATTGTTTTTAGCAACATTATAATTCCTGATTATCTGCACCCCAAGTTGAAGTGCACCTTCAGCGGTGAAAGAAAGACAGCTTGGTGCAAAGTTTCTCCACCAGCTTTTTGCATGTGTTCAGTGTGCATGCCGAGATCGTTCATTCCAGAATAAATTTGTTGCCTGCCCGGCGTCAACGCGCATAAACTTGCACGCTTGTGCAGTGAGTTCGTACCAAAGGACTGACAATTTCATTTTAAAAAGACCTCTTATATTCCCGCTCAGAGCGGATTCTGTGCCCAAGGTCTGTCCAACCCTGCATAATGAAATTAGCTGTTGAAATTGATATTGCATTATGTTAATTTTTTTGCATTACTTTCCTTTTGGAATGAATAGGTAAAGTTTCTGTTTATTAGTAAACTACATTATTTCAGAATTAGGGCCACACATTTGGCTCATTCCTTGCAAGCTTTTGATTTCCTCTTATCTTGAAAGCCACTCAAAGAAGTTTCCGTTTTTTTTATTGGAAAATGCATTGTGCTTTTATTTTCATTTGATATTATGGAAATGTAACATTGCAATGTAATGCGATGAAAGTTGTGGCTACAACACCACTTTGGTTTTGGTACTTTTTTGAACGTTTGGAAGTAATACCTGCATTCCAAAAATTTTAAATATTCCTGTTGTCCTTGAATATTAAGTCATAAATGGAAAAAAGCAAAAAAAATAAGTAATAATAATCATAATGAGATGATTTTTTGGATTGAATTTCAGGCATGTGAGTTGCCTTTATTTGAGTACATGGCAGAACGTATGTGTGGTTGCTGCTATGAGAGAGCTTGGTATGCCAAACTAGGTGGATGTATTGCCATTAAGTTCATGATGGAACGCATGGATTTATGCTGGATACAAGGCCATCTCTACCAGTTTCTCAAAGCCCTCTTCTTTGTTATGATGGATCTCACTGGAGAGGTAAATATATCTACAACTGTGATTATCCAAAATTGCTTTGAAAATACCACTTCCTATGTAACGTCTGTTTGGGGAATGCAAATGTAAACATGTAGAAACTTGAAATTTACCTGGACTATTTACAAGGTTTAGCAAACTTTTGTGGAGTGCCTGTAGGTAAAAACCACAAATTCCCTCTTGATTAACCCTCCTATGCTGAAGTAACTCTTTGGGTCAGTTGGTAAAC